GCGTTAGTATTTCTACTTATAATCATTGTTTTGTCTTCTTGATATTTATTTTCAAAACCCCGAGCTTCACTTGCAAGAGTTAGATCATTCATTTAAAAGGCATTGAAGATCTTCGATGTTATCTGCCAATATGGCTGTATCATCGGCATACCTGATGTTATTAATAAATAGGCCGTTAACTTTAATACCCTTATTAGTGTCTGCCACTGCTTTTACGAAGGCTTCTTCTGCGTATAAATTGAACAGCATTGGAGACAGTATATAACCTTGCCTTACTCCTTTTTTAATGGAGAAATCTTCTGTTTCGTTGAAATTTTGAAGACGTACTGTTGCTGTCTGGTTCCAATACAGATTGGCGATTATTCTTCTATCCTTAGCATCCAATCCCAACTCTTGTAGGTATGTTATCATCAATTCGTGTTTTACATTATCGTAGCAAGTATCAAGGCTAATTATTTACTCCTCCTGCTTTACTTACACTATGATAGTAAAAATATGCCTCAGGTTACACTACACTCACACCAGTGAGGTGAGTGTAACCCATGGATAAATAAGTAACAAAATAAAATTGGAGGGTGTTACTCGCTTGTAAGTAGCAGTTAGTTAATGTATATTCAGTGATCTTGCCAAAATAATTCAGATTTGAAGACAAATTTTTTTGTCAATGCACTTTAAACAGACACTACTGAAATGCACGGTTCCACTTACTCCGGTGTACCTTACAGATAGGGGCCAAAATTGTTTACAGAATATTTGTGTAAAGCGTAATATCGTTAATTATGTTTTTGCCGATGGTCAGGAATAATGAAAGATTGTTGTTAAATATAATACAGATATTAGTCATGAAATTAACCTTTTACTAATGTTTACCAAATAAAAAAAATATATGTTAGCATGTTTTATTCAGATTTATATCGATGCTGAATTTTAGAAAATAGCATTTTTTTTATTTTTCATCATCATCTTTGGCTCAACAATCCTCTGTGAATCTTGGCCTGCTCTAAGATTCATCGCCATTCTGTTCGGTTTTTGGCAACATGTTGCCATCTTCTGATTTTTAATATTCGTAAGTCGGTTTTCACTCCATCTAACCACCTAATTCGCGGTCGGCCTTTGCTTCTTTTTCCTACAGGTGTTCCTGTGGTTAGCTTTTTAGCAATCGTATTTTTTGACATTCGTATTATGTGTCCAGCCCATCTAACTCGTTGTGTTTTAATGAATGTTATGACATCTGGCTCATCAAAGAGCTGATACAATTCAAAATTATATCTTCTGCGCCACTGCTCTTGGTCGTTTACATCTCCAAATATTTTGCGGAGTATTTTACACTCAAATATTCCCAAAAGTCTTTCATCTTTCTGCATTAGAGTCCATGATTCTGCTCCATATGTGAGGACCGGCCTCAGCAATGTTTTGTATACAATAATTTTAGTTCTTCTTTGAATGTTTCTTGAGTGGAAATGCTTTTGGAGTCCATAGTATGCCCTATGTGTAAGATTTATTCGTCTTTTGATTTCTTCGCTTGTTTTATTGGTAGCAGTCAATAGCGACCCAAGGTATGTGAAGTTGTCAACACGTCCAAAGGTATGACTTCCAAAGACTGTTTCTTGTTCCTCATTTGCTATCGGATCCTTTGTAACCAACATGTACTTGGTTTTGTCTTCGTTGATGACTAGACCGACCTATTTCGCCGCTGTTTCCAATTCTAGGAGATATTGCTCAACATCTCGCTTGCTACGCCCTACCATGTCAATGGCATCAGCATATGCTAAGACTTGTATCGATCTACTGTAAATAGTACCGCCATCCCTAATTCGTGTATCTCGGACTGCCTTTTCTAAGGCAATATTAAATAGGAGGCAAGCCAGAGCGTTCCCTTGTCTGAGTCCATCCTTTATCTCAAAGGATCTAGAACTCTCTCCCTGTATTCTAACAGTGGCTTCTAAGTTAGACATTGTCATTATCGTTAGTCGGATAAGTTTCTCTGGTATACCAAACTCATGCATTGATTTTTCTTTGTCTGACTGTTCTCTTAACACTGTCGATGCGGCCTTGAAGTCGAAGAATAGGTGATGGGTTTCAATATTGAATTCTAATGTTTTCTCGAGAATCTGTCTTATTGAATGAATCTGGTCAATTGTTGATTTTTCTGGAGTGAATCCAGCTTGATATTTAACAACTATGCCCACTGTGTAAACTTGCAGCCTTTCGTAGAGAATATTTGCTAGTATTTTGTAAGCAGTTGTTAACAGGGTTATACCTCTATAGTTGTCACACTGGAGCTGGTCACCTTTTTTATGTAACGGGCATATCACTCCTTGAGACCATTCACAAGGCATGGCCTCATTATGCCAAACAAGAAGTAAAAGCTTATGCAGTGTCTGCAGTAGGGCATCGCCACCATTCTTGTAGAGCTCACTGCAAATTTGATCAACTCCTGGTGATTTATTATTTTTAAGCTTTTTAATGGCTTGGGCAACGTTTTCGATGGTAGGTGGTCTTTCGTTTGGGTTGAAAGGATTCCAATCATTTCGATTTGCTAAGGGTGTTATCTGCTTCTTCGATATGATGGCCATTAAATTTTGCATCGAAAAATTCAACCCATCTGTTTAGGATTGAGGCCGTATCATTTAGGATGTTTCCTTCTACATCCTTACAGCTCTTTTTTATCTTTGCTTATTTTAAAAACATTTTGCGTATTTTTGGAAAATATTAAGATTTGCAGACTCTGCTGCAAAAGCTCCATCAACACTATTTCATTAGTATTACTTCTGTTGGTTCCCAGAATTTCTAATTCCTTCTTCTAATTAAATTTTCAGAATTTTTTTTGCTTCATGTATCCCTGTGCCATTCTAAATATTTTTTAAACGCGTATTTAGTAAACATAGTCTCATTTTTTAATTCACATTATTTCGATTTGGTTTTAGGGCCAGTATTTCAAATTAGAACACATCGAACAAATATAAATATTGCATCAAATTAAACGCGAACAAATTCAACCGCAATTTCAACTTAAAATTTATGGATTTTGAAGGAAATACATAATTTGTTAATCGTTTTGGGATATTGAAGTGGTATAGCCATTTAAAAAAGGAAATTGATTATTGTATTTTGTGATTACTTCCATAAAATACAATTTCGACGAGAGGTTGAAAAATGATTGAATTATCGTATCGTATAAGATATACAGTTAAGTACAGAAAGTAAGCCACAGCTGTGTCCCGTTTAAAAATTATTGATAGCATAGTTGTTATGACACATCAATTTCTTGTCTTAAATGTTGCAGTTATTTCAATAAACAAATGATGTGGATATCTTCATAAGCAAGAATACAGACTATATTTTTGTAGCTGGCGTGAATAAGTGGATAAGTACAAAAAATAAACTTTCCAGTATGGGCAAATTAGTGTTTAAACATATCTCCAAAATTAGGTTTTTTCTTAAATGCTGGTGTTACAAGGTTAAAACAATAAAAATACGGTAACTTAAAATAATATTAAACGTTTTTTAGGATATAAATTATTTTAAAGGTAGTTTCATGACTTACCTACTTATGTACGCACACTTGATACAAAAAAACAATGAGATGTATTGTTATTCACGAGCAAAAATCGTACTCTACGTCTGGATCAATTTCTGTTAGGTCTGGATCTACAGATGTCAAATCGTTTGTAACCAAGTTTACGTAAAAATTGTGAAACACATAATCTATCAGCGGCAAGAGTTTAAGGAGGTCATTCTTTTTTTCCTTACTGATTGGTACAACTCCTTCATTGACACATGGCAGGGCTGCAGGAATAGACTGTTTTCCTCTTCTTCGTATATTTAATGTTGTGAAATCCTTTATCTCTGTTTAGAGAGTGTTTATATTTCAGAGTTCCGATTTGTTGTGTATATTGTAACCACTGCGTTGGTTGTCAAGGGAATCTATCGCCAACCTCTATAGTTTTTTTAAGCACGAAATGTCCTTTACCTTTAGCTAGACTACTGAAATCAAAAAAAATGTTCTCTCTTTATAACCACTACGTCAAATGGGTTTTTTCTTTTGCATGATCTCACGAGTTGATACCAATCATTTGGGAGATTGATTTTAATAGCTGTTTTTTTCTTTGCTTTTTCAATTACGGCATGATCAGAATCACACTCCATGTGTGTATGACCACTAACTAAGAATTTATGGTTAATTTCCTCCAAATTGCTAAACATAAAAGCTACGTGGCTATTTTTATTTTGTCCTCCGCATGTGTCCGAGTAAAAAGTAACTTTTTCAATATCGGACGGCAAACTACAAATGTGTCGGTAAATGCAAGAAGCAATTTGATTTTCTCCTCTACCGGATACAGATTCATACTACTTACGCACGTTCCGAAGAAAAGTGTAATAAATCACATTTTTTTCTATCTTCACTTTTCTACAGGAATGGATAGTACATCAAATGCTCTATCTCCAAAGAAACCCGTAATAATTTAAGTTCAATAATTATTGCATAGATGGCGAAAGAATCACTATTCTTCGGAACAGGTTCATCGGCATATTCCGATGAAATCAGTAATAAACGGCAGTTATCGTGGTATGCACTTCGGCACTCCGCTGTATTACCGATCAAAAGTGTAATAAGTGTAGTTAGTACTATCTATTTTAGAACTGTTGTAAACTTTAGTTTCGTGTTCTCCCGGTAAAAGTGTAACATTTCGTGTTGCTACTCTTATTATCGGAATATTTGTCAATATTTCCACTTTACGTTCGGCGAAAAGTGTAATATTTGTAGTCATTGCTGTTTAGTTTGGAAGAGTTTACACTTTTACTTCGCGTTTTTCGAGGAAGACCGTAATATTTCGAGTTATTATTCTGATCTTTGGAATATCTTTCAGTTTTATCACTTGACTTCCGCCGAAAAGTGTGGTATTTTCAGATAATACTATTTTCTTCAGTAAGTTCTAAAAAATCTATTTATTTTATGTATTATAATAATGTAATAATAGTATAGTTCTATTGGAAAAATGAATGTTGTTGTTGAACAAAATATAGAATCGTTCCCTACAAATACCCAACAAAATGTAACTAGCCATACCGAAGATTTAAACTCACGATGTTTTGACCTGGAAGATTGTCATAGTAATGATAGTCTGAAAGATCCAAATTATGATTCTGATTCATCGTCATCAAGCAGTTCGTCATCTTCAACGAATAGCTCTTCAAATAGTGCTTCATATTCATCGAGTTCATCATCTTCCACTAGATCAGGACGTTTACCACGGTGTACAGACTCTGTAGCTAATTCAACTTCAAAACATCGATTAAACTTAGCAGAAAAAATCTTCTACTTCAGTAACTGAGTCAGAATCTAACATCGGACAGTGGAAAGACGTTGAAGAAAAAAAGGCAAGAAAAAGGATTCATTAAGAAATAGAGTGGATAAAATTAAAAACTAGGATATTGCGGAATATGGGTAAAGAGTATATGTCATGTTCAAACTTCAAAAAGGTTATACCATCGAAAAACGTACAGGCTGCATGTACTGATAAATACAGATTCAAATATAGTGAGAAAATCGAACAAGATGAGAGAGTGCATATTTTTAAAGAGAGTTTTATAGTTTGAGTGATTTTAACAAAAAAAGAGAATTTATAAGTCGAAATATGGAAACTATACAACCAAACTCCAGGTACAAAAGTCTTAACAAGAGGCGACAGAATAATGTATTTTATTTCCGAGTGAATCAAAAGAAAATCCGAGTATATAAACTATTTTTTAAAATACTTTAAATATAAATGATATAACAATTGATACAGTAATAAAAAAGCGCACTTCAGCCGGATCAGTAAGTGAAGACAGAAGAGGAAAGCATTGTAAACATCGTAAAGTAGCTTCCAATATAAAAAATGACATCCGAGAGCATATTCAGTCAATTCCGAAAATTAAAATCCACTACTTAAGGGCACAGACTACTAGAGATTTTATCGAAGGTGGTAAAAGTGTTGCAGATTTACATAGGGATTATGTTAATCAATGTAAGGAAGCCAATAAACCTTTTAGAAACTACCATATGTATTCTGACATTTTCAACACAGAATTTAATATATCCTTCTTTATCCCGAAAAAGGATCAATGCAACCTTTGCTTCTTATTTACTAACGCAAGCGAAGATGAAAAAATGAATCTCGAGCGTAAATATCAAAAACATCGAGAAGAAAAAATATTGTCTAGAGCTAAAACGGAAAGCGACAAAAAAAAAGTGTAGCGAGAACTTTTTAGTCGCATGTTTTGATATGCAAGCGGTGTTCCAGCTGCCAAAAGATTACAGATCAATCTTCTATTATAGATTAAAACTAAATACAATGAACTTAACTATCACTGAATTAGTAGCGGATAATACATGGTGCTTTGTATGGCATGGAGGCCAAGGCAGAAAAGGGCTGACCGAAGTGGCTTCATGTCTTTTAATGTATCTAGAGCATAATTCCAAAACCATAAATTCTCCAAATTTGGAAATAGTCTTGTATAGCGACAATTGTGCAGCACAACAAAAAAATAGGTAAGAATCAGACATTTAATTCAACGGAATTCTCTCTAGAAATTATCTCTAGAAATTACACATAAGTTCCTTATAGTTGGTCACACCCAAAATGTGGGAGACTCCACACATTCCGTTATTGAAAAACAGTATCAAATGGTTAATATCCATAGACGGATCAGTTATCAACTGAAAAATGTCATTTTTAGGTTACACGTTCTCTAAAATCAGGACCAATTCATGTACCAGATCAGTTTATTCAAATAATAAGAAATGCAAAGAAAAAAGGGGAGCCATACCGAGTCAAAGAGTTAACGTATGAAGATTTCATGAACATCAAACAGTTGATGAATGACCTAGGACCAAATACCTATTAATGATCTTAGAGTTGTTAGAGTGAAAAACGATGAACAATTTAAGTATTTTTATAAAACTTCTTTCTCTCGGACACATTTCAAGGCAATCAATATTCTCAAAAGAGCGCGTGCTAATGCTAAGCGCATTTAAAATTCATCTAATCGGACACAGTTGCCGACATTAAAAAAAGCTTACAATTCGAAACGACGATTTACTGAGAAAAAAAGAGACGACCTACAGTTTTTGGTGAAAAAAGGGTATTTTCCTAAGTATTACCAAGTATTCTATGATTCATTATGTTAAAATATCCATAAAAAATTTAGGAGATAATTTCAGTTTATACAGTGTTTATGTTCTGTTCAAAAACTATTTTGTAATAAAAATCATGATTCCAATATGTTGTATCTTTAAATTCTTTTATATAGATTTTAACTATTGTTCGAAGAAAACTGTAACATATAAATTTTTTTTTTAAATTACTCATTATCTCAAAAACCCTTTTGTTTCATAAAAAGATTTAGGTAGATTATGAAATAATAATTTATTTAATCTTTTTAATGCTATTTGATAATATATAGAGATTCACTTCCGGGTTCATCTATTCGCATTTTAAAAATGACAAAAATTGTTTTTACTCTCCTGACAAATTTTGTTTTTTTGACTTATTACACTTTTCTTAGGAACGTGCAATATAACATTTCGCTTCATCAGTAGCTAAATCATTTACTGTGAGGTTGAATGTCCACAACTGTCTGGAATAAAATGCTTTATTGGTTGTTAGATAAGGGGTGGGCAAACATTGTTGAAGTTCAAAAGCATAAGTTTTATTTAAGTTATTAGTTTTTGACACAGATTTGTCACTTTTTTTTGCCATGTATGCCTGTTCCACAAGTATGTGATGACCATTCCTCTCCTTAGTCACTAGAACTTTGGCATCGTCATCTGCTACATTTAATTTCATTTGCAACAAATCACAGTTGTAACAAGTGTCTTGTTTGGGTTGCTTAAAAGCCAAGTTCAAGTCATGAAAAGTTTTACTAGGTAATTTTAGTCAAACTGGGCGATCGTTTAATTCTTTGTACATTTCATACATTTTAGTTATTGTTAAGTCAGGTAACAGAAACTTCTTTGTAGTTCGTTGCCGACAATAATGACTTTCATAATGGAGGTAGGAAAGAATGTGCTTTCTCACAACGTCCATCTCTTTTTCAGTCTTCTTGACTTATGATTAACAAGACTAAAACAAGAACTACCAATAATACCAAAACCTGTTAGAGGTAAATTAAACTATCAATTAGAGCGCCTTCAAGAAAAGCAGGTTGTAAACAGACTAGAGGAAGAAATAAATAAAAAACTAGAGAATCCAGTCAAACAAGATATAGATGAAGAATGGCAATGAAATACAGACAGCCATGTCGGAAACAGCAGCAAACTGTATAGGTAGAGAGCATATAAAAAAGGCGGCAAGACTGGTCTGATGAAGAATGCAGAAATGTTTTGACAAGAAGTAACAGGGCCTTGACAAGAAACTTAAAAAATAACAACAGTGCAGGAGAAAGTGAGATTCCAGCTGAGATTTTTAAGGAAGGTGGCGAACGATTGAAGGAAAGGATATTTCAGTTGCCACCAATAATTTGGCGAAAGGACGAAATGCCGAAACAATGGAAGAGTGCTCTTATTTCTCCTATCTATTAAAAAGGAGACAAAACGGAGTGCGAAAAGTATAGAGGTTTAGTGCTATTAGAAGTAGTATATCAAATACTTGCAAAAATTATTAGGAAAAGATTAATAAAATATGTTAACAAAGTGATTGGAGAATACCAGGGAGGTTTTAGATCAGGAAGAAGATTTTAAACAAACAGATGACTCTCTAAATCGAAAAATGCTATATGAGGCCATAAGAGCATTAGAAATACCCGAAAAGCCTATAAGGCTAGTGAGAATGACGTTTAGGAACACGATAAATAAGGTAACACTGGAAGGAAACTTTTCAAGACAATTCACAGTGAATAGAGGTTTAAAACAAGAGGATCCGCTATCAACGAATTTATTTAACCCAGTATTAGAACAAGAACATCGATGCCACAAGAAAATAGCTTCAGAACAATATTAAGAACATCGAAGAAGGTCAAATATAAGCATAAACAGGACAATTTTCAAAAGCAGGGAACAGTGCATAGCGTTCGCGGATGATGTGTTGATACTAGCGAGAACCAAAAATCATTTAGAAAAAGTTTTCCAGAAATTTAAAGAAGAAGCGAAAAGATACGGATTAATAATAAACCAAACAAAAACGCAATATATGGAAATGGGAGGAGACATAGATAATAACAAATATATCAAAATGAAGGGAGCAGAGACTGTTTATATTTTTGAAAAAGTGTCAGAATTTAAATACTTAGGAGTAATCATAACGAATGCGGAAAAAGAAGAAAAAGAGATAGACAAAAGATTAATGAAGGAAAGCAGAACGATAGAGTCACTAGAGAGATTACTGAAAGCAAAAAATGTATCAAAAACAACTGAACTGCGAGTCTTAGAGATAGTAATTAGATCCACAGTGTTGTATACCAATGAAACGTGGATTATGAACCAGCAGGAAGAAAAAAAGTAGAGATCTGGGAAAGAAAGGTGCTCAGAAAAATATTCGGAGGAATAAAGACGGCAGAGAATATTTGAAGAAGACGAAAGAATAAAGAAATAATGAGGATGTACGGAAAACCAGCAATTACGGGAAAAATACGAGCCCAAAGAGCTAAATGGCTTCGTCACATTATACTAATGCCAGAGAATCAAAATGTAAAAACAATACTGAAGGAGGGAGAACTGGGGAAAAAGAACAGGACGTCCAAAGAAGAAGTGGTTGGAAGCAGTAAAACAAGATTTGTCAGAGGAGCCGAAAAAAATGGAGGGAAATAGAAAGTTGTTAGAAGCTAGACGCCTATACTTTGTCTCAAAGTGACTAGTCTGTAAAGAGTAAGATATGCAATGCTAACCTGCTGGGAATTTTGCCAAGACGATGCCAGTTTTATGCAGCGATGGCGTTCTCTATTGTCTATCTTTCAAAATAAACGGAATAAACCAGGAGTTCTCAACAAGTCTTCACGCACAATTTTATGTAATATACAAATATCGTTTGATAATAATTTTACATAATACTATGCATTATTTGTTTCTAATAGTAACTTATCAACTTATCTTTTATTAGTAGCAGTATTATAATAAAATGTGCATTAAATAAACATTTGTTTCAAAGTTTTTCAAATACTTTCTTTTAAGTTATTCAGTAATTAAGAAGCAATTAAAGTAATTCTTCTACAGAATATGTTTAAAAGCGTGATACATACAAGGCCTTAATTAGTCTTTATTTGTTCTTCGGAGCGCGTAAACGTATTCGAGTTACGATTATTTGTACCATCTTGGATGTACTGTTACTGTTTTGTTATTGTTATTATTTGTTAGTGG